GGAGGAGGATGGCTAAGAACGAGGAGGAGGAGCGCGGCGACTTTACCTCAAGGCAGTGGGTGAGATTTACCCCGTCTGTCTTCCCTTCTTCTACTTGCGCCATCTCCTTGTGGAGAATCTCCATCAATGACCAGGTGAGGATGTACTGCCCGAACGCCTACAGGGATACCTCGTTACCTCCTTCCCCTCTTCCTCCTCCCTCTAATCTTGACTCTTCACCCTCCTCCCTCTCCTCCTCCTCCCTCTCCTCCTCTTCCTCCTCCCCCCTGTTTCTCCTCCACGCCTCCCTGCTCCTGCTTTCCCACCATCTTAGCTCCCTCCTACACAGGCTCACCGTGAAATATTTGTCAGGGGCAAGTCCGGGAGTGTTGAGATGTTCGCGTGCGGTCTGCTCGTCAAAAAGGATCAGAAAGGAAAGGCAGAAAGGCAGCTACGACAACCTGTATGCTGGGCTTCTCGATGAGCCGCTGCAGCGTCATGATCTCATCCTGTGAGAGGTGGGAGATTATGAGGAGAGAGCAAGTAAGGGGACATTCAAGAATTTGTCATGTACACATGTGCATCGTCATTGTCATTGCATTCATTATCACCCTCATCATGATCGTCATCATGATCATGATCATCGTCATCATCATCATCATCATCATCGTCATCGTCATCGTCATCATCGTCGTCATCTACAACTACCATCTCATCATCATCATCATCAACACCATGAGCAGCAACACATTTTCCCACAAACGAGGACTGGGAGAGAGGACAAGAAAACGATAGCAGAAAGAAATCGAGTGATAACGATCACAGGTGCAGAAAGAATTCTCATGATAGCTATGACACGTGCAGTGGAAAATCTCGTGAGAACAATCATAAGTGCAGAAAGAAATCTTATAACAACAATCAAATGTGTTCACCTCACGAACGGATCCGACAAGCGGCGCTTGGCCAGAAGAGATGATTGCGTTGCTTCGTCCTTCATACTTCTCCCCTCGGAAAACTCCAAGTCTGCCGATCTCTTCCTCGTCGTTAATCTGAGACAACGGTCACGGCAGGACGCGAGAGTTCGATGAAAGAGGTAGAGGAGGATAAGGGAGGAGGTGGAGGAGGCGGTGGTGGTGGTGGAGGAGGATGAGGATGAAGATGAGGATGAGGATGAGGCGAGGACAAGGAGAAGAAGGAAGAAGGAGCCAGGGCGACGAATGACGAACATGGGCAGCTACGATGCAGTTTCCTTGAAATGCTTCAAGTAGCTGAAAGGCGATGAGACCCTCAGGATTGGCGTCTTTGTGACTTACCTGCTGTGCGCAGGACTTGTTGGGGAGCGCAGAGCAGTAAAGATGATCTCCCAACATAACGAGGAATGGTTCCCCAACGTCCATGTAAGAGCTGAAGGATGAGAGATTAACTTTTGTTTGCAAGTACAAGCAACGACAGCAAGAGGTGATGTGCTGTGCTGTGCTGTGCTGTGCTGTGCTGTGCTGTGCTGTGCTGTGCTGTGCTGTGCTGTGCTGTGCTGTGCTGTGCTGTGCTGTGCTGTGCTGTGCTGTGCTGTGCTGTGCTGTGCTGTGCTGTGATGTGCTGTGCTGTGATGTGCTGTGCTGTGCTGTGATGTGCTGTGATATGATGTGCTGTGATATGATGTGATATGATGTGAAGTGATGATATGATGTGAAGTGAAATGATGTGAGATGAGATGAGTTGTTGTAGTCATTGAATCAACGGAGCATATCACATCACATCAAGACACATGCTCCATCACCGACAACAGAGGATCGCATGTCCCAACCCCAGCTGCTCATCCTGCCATGTCAAGACTTCAGCTTCGATCACCTCCACCAGCAATCATCGCACCTGCGTGACCAGTTTGACAACTTTCGCAAGCTCCGTCAACCTGGCACAGGGAGGAACAAGCCGTAAGACGGCGCCTTTCCATAGTCTCCTCCCCTCCAGACCTCCGAGCGGCTGACTGTTGCTTCAGAGGAAGTCTGTTGAAGACCCTTGAACTTGGCAGCGAACCTTCAGCAGGGCATCAGGGCAACATTGACCTCCCTGTGTCAAATCACCTGAGAACAGCTTGTCGAACGAATGTCGATCCTCCGGCCGTACAACCAGGAAGACTCGCTCTATTCCTGAACCACCGGCATCACCAGACTCGCATGTTGCCAGCACAAACCCACCTGCCGACAGGGCTTCTTCGACCAGCAGCAGTACAGCCGGCTGCAGTAGATAACACGTCACAAACTCACATACAAGGTCATTGTGATGACGGCATCGCTATCTGTATTTCTCCCCCCCCCCCTTCGTCCTCCTCCTGTCCTCCCCCCGGCTCTCCCTACCCACCTGGGCGATCCCATCCTGAGTCACGATAGGGAAGAGAGCGGGAGGAGTGACTTGGCAGCAGGGGAAGAGTAGGGGAGACTCTCCGGCGCAGGGGATGACGCAGGTCTTGACGCAGTGCTTCTTGCCGATGGAGAGGGACAGTGGGTTCAGCTGCAGCTCGTCTCTGCACACTCGGAGGAGCTCTAACATGCCACGATCAACATAGCATCCTCCTCCTCGTCCCCCCTCCTCTCCCTCCTCGTCCCCCCTCCTCTCCCTCCTCGCCCCCCCTCCTCCCCCTCCTCACTTCCCCACTTCTTCCTATCACCTTGCTGGGCTTCCTCCGACCTGGCCACGAACTGCGCACATCCGTCACCTTGCGATCCAACGCCCTTGCCCCCCCAAACGAGCGGCTGGATCGACGGATGGGTCAAAGTGGCGTGCAGCTTCGGAGCGGTGAGCTGGGAAGGACAAGCTGGGATAGCAAACTTATCAAACTGCTCTTGAGCATACGTCATCAACTCCCCCAGGCGCTTCGCGTCCCCTTGCGAGATAACCTCTGCCGCCTCCTTCACGATCTTCTCGTTCACCTCCCCAAGTAGTTTCTGCACCCCCTCCTCAATCTCATTCGAGGCAACAGGATACGCCTTGTTGAGGCAGGAAAGGATCTCCATCGTGTCCTTGGCAGCGCAGAGGTCGACGATAACAAGGAAGATCGGCTCCTTGGGAGGGTCTATCTTCTCTGTTTGCAGCAAGTCCCCGTCGAAGAACATCAGGGTAGGCACTCTGCCAAAGGCACAACACTGATCCATCCTCCCGCACCGAGACGGGGTCAGGATCTCCCCCAAGTACGCCATCTCCATCTCAGCCCTCGGAGGCATCCTCAGGTCGTACACTTTGCTGAACGCCCTGGCTATCAGCACGCAGTAGGCAGCAGAGGAGGACAAACCCTTCTTCATCGGCAGCGTCGTTGTGTGATTCTCCACAACGAGACCGTTCACCGGGTAGTAGGTCTTCACCTGATATGCAACACCCGCAGCATAGCTCCAGAACCCTCCTCCCTTTGCTACTCTCAAGAGCTCCTCGTCCCGAAAGTCACACTCCCATGGTCCCACCACCTCCCCGTTGTCCCTCGTCGTCGTCAGGATGAGCTTGTTAGGGTGCTCCCATGCTGTTGCCTCCAACGTCTGCAAGTCAGCATCAGGCCCTTGCTCCATGGCCATGCTCCGTCCTTACCTGGTCAGTCCCTGTAACGATACATCGCCCTGGCAAGATCTTGGCGTGTGTCCTCCTTCAGAAGGTGGTCAGATCGTCGATACCAAGACGTCACGATAGGTATCAATGGGAGCGCAAGAAGCAGGTCTTGTCCGCAAGGGGTCAGGATATGATGGAGCAAGTCAGAGGGATGGTTGTTCCTAAAGGCTCAGGGCACCATAGGGAGGAAGATGCGACAGGGGGTTGTTGGGGGATGATGGTGTTGAGAGACGAGGCATGAGGAAGGGGCAGAGCATGAGAAGGAGGGGAACGATCATACAAGCAGAGCATGAGAAGGAGAGGAACAATCATACAGGCACCTACCTGTACCCTCCTGCCCAGTCTGAGTGCTCCCCCAGCAAGCAGACTCGTCCGCATACCGACAGATCTACCTTTCCTGCCATGTCGGCCTCCACCGGGCTCGCCTCGCTTGCTTGGAAAGGACAGACCCCCGGGGAGCGCCTTGCCGGCGGGCCGGGCGGTTTTCTCTGCCAACGGTAAGTGACTCAGCGGGAATCAAAGTTAACTGTGAGTCGCGTTAAAAAATCTGAGTGACGGTATGACAATCAGGAGAGTAGAGGAGGCTTGACCGTCACTGTCGCACAGGCCATACGGCGACTACAGCCGCAGAACCAACCGTTGAACCGTCACGGCTCATCCGATGATGGCATCCCAGTCCGATCCTGGACTGAGGCGGCCGGGCCGATTGCCAAACTTGAAACTGACTGGACTTGACTGATCATAATATCTTTACTTAATTTAATAGTACGGCACCTTCATTGAACTCAGTGCGGCAGTGCGCGCAGGACCATCCTCATGATCCGGGATCATCCCCTGCGCTACCCGGTGACCCGGGTGACCCGGCCGGCTGGGGCGGCTGTTGTGTCAATTGCGCCTGCCGGGAGTCCGGCTTCAAGCCGCGGCCTCAGGGCAACTTGCATCATGGATTGAAGTTGACTAGCACTTGAACTGTGAGTCACCAAGGCTTGCCACGGTTGGTCAGTAAAAAGTTCCGAGTCGGAGGCTGAATCGGGCCGCTCAGGCAGCCTGGGCCGGGCCACCGTTCACGCCGCCGAGAAACTGAAAACGGTTTGTAACGGAAGGCAACCGGATTGCCGCCAACGCCAACGCTCTCGACTCTCGTATGTCCACCCCCCACGGGGTACAGATGGTTACTACCCTACCCTCATTTTAACATATTTTCTCTCTAAGAACTACCCGTATGATAATAACCCCTCCATCCGATTAGTGCTGTCCCCGACTGGCTCCAACTCCAACTCCCGCCCCCGCCAAACTCGTTTTCCTTTGCCTCCTCCTCCATTCGCCCCCTGCCCTCGCCCCCTCCCATCCCACCTCGCAACATCCTTTCAGAGATTCTCTTCCTTTTCGATCTCTCCTCTTGGCCATCCCACGTCCTGTTCCGCTCTTTCTCTCTTCATTGGATCCTGTTCCTCATTTTCCATGTTTCCATTTTCACTGTTGAATTGCAACCATGATCGAACCATGTGCTCATATCATGGCCATAGTCTTTCGATACTTTGCCACCGACTTCCGAATGTTGTGCTTGCATTCCGATGCCCCATCCCCTTCACAAGACGCCGTTCTCCTCCACAATGAAGAGCAAGAATAATTAGTCTGTTGAATGTTGAGTCGACTTCGATATCCTAGCGTTGCACACATTTGGATTCAAACCGACCAATTTGTGCATATTGTCTTCAAGTACACCGTCATGGCACACAAGCTGAATGTTTGAGTATGACGTGCTCTAATCTGTTGTCGAACACAATGCTTTCTCAATGACTGCTTTTCCTCTTGAATGCTGTGGTGCCGTCCCTTTGCTATCCATGCATATTTTCAAAATTCCCCTTCGAAGATTATCATTGCATTTCTGTAGATCACTGGTCTGAAATTTAGATTGCTGACACGTACTTTTCTAGACGCGGCAGGATGGTTGCTTCAAAGGGGGACAACAGTGGCTTTTCATCGCCTGCACGACTAAGAGTCTCATTGAGTCAAGGAGGTTCGTTCAAGGAAAAAAGAAGCAGATCCCCCAACACCCTGGACGAGACTCTGTTTGACCGTCTGGAGAGGATGAGAGTTTCATCTCCAAAGCTAACAAGGAGTCGGAGCCAGGGAGAGACTATTTGGCATGCTCGCCAGTCACCAACTCCCATCTTATTTCGGCGGTGCAAACAGAGCCATCTTGATCTCAAGGTCGATGTCAATGCACTCGAGATCAAGGACACGTGTGAGCCAGAGCCTCAAGCTCCTCGTTCTCATCCCTCTTGGAGCATCAACTCTGAAGACTCACCCATGGATTGCGAGAAGCAGCACTTCTTCTCGGAATCGTGATCTTGTACAGCTTAGTTAGAAACTTAACTCTAGATAGACTGCAAGCAGTCATTACCACATCTCATGTATATTCATATACATTCTTCTTGTACAAATGTTCGAGATGATGTGTGCACATTCACGCATTTCGCGAGTTCGGGATCATTCTTTAACGAGATTTTCAGAAATTCATAAGAGCTGTCTATCCTACACGGTCACGGGGGATCAAGCGAAGATCCCTACCATGCTTCATGAATACATTACCTGCACAATGATATTAGACACCAGGCCACCACCAGCAAATCCAGAATCACCAGCAGACTGAGCAGGGTTGATACCGACGTTGTCGTTGGTGATAATTGCACTGCTCTCAGCCGAGATTTTGAACTGTGCGATGGTTGAACAGTGAGGCATCGGACAGAAGAAGGCGAAGGAAAGACGGCAGAAGTACAATTGTAATAATGAATTACCTCGTTTGCAGCAAACTTGAGCACTGCTGTGAAGGGAGCATTCTCAGGAACCTTCACTACCTAGGAAGGGTCACTCAATGGACTGGTAACATGGTGCAGTCACCTTGTAAGGCAGCTTGGGATCCGATGTGAGGGTAATCTTAAACTCAACCTACAACCGAAAAGTTATTTCATTCCATCAATCGCCATGTTGGCCATAGCTCTCATCACAAGGCATCTCCTTTGCCATGACGTGGAATCAACCGAAAATTTCACATCGACACAACTAAGCTGCAGCTACTAATTTTCGTTCTGTTCTCGCTTAGTTGCTTTCAAAGCCTCTGACATTATCACACCCATCATGCAAAATCCTCAAAATTCTCCTCATCCCATCTTCGATAATTCAGATGTGTTCAGTCCAACTTGACGCAAATACGTGCAAATGATTCGTATGCATCTGAGGATTTCAACAAGAAACCTGTTGTCATTTTCCCACAACTTTGCGAACTCCTCATCATCTACCACAGGACATGTTTTCCGTCTTTCCCTGCCCAACTTGCACCGACACCTCACACCATTACCTTAGCTCCGTCAGCCATGGCGGCCTCCCCGTACTGCACGAAACGGTTATGATCCGTTACTTGCCACGGTGCCCGGGTGCGTAACCGGGAATGTTTTCAGACCGGATGCGGCCACATGCTGAATGTCAGCAGAATGTCAGGCTGAAAATATGCCCACGATTTCCTTTTGAAGCGCCAGATCAGGCATGATGGCATGGACGAGGCCATGTTCTGTGCATGACTACGTGTGGCAATGTCGACACAGATCGTTCGAGATGGCAGATGGATAGCTGTCGCAGACTGGGAGGTGGAGCGATAGGGAAAAGATAGGCTGGGGAACGAGTCCGGGGGTTGAGGATATGTGATAGAACGAGGTTGTCAAAAAGGAGAGAGATGCATTGGAGGAGAAGAGATTGGATCGTGGGATGTGCACGCAATGCAGTCAGATGGAGGGTTGAAGGTCAAAATAGTTTGGTTTCAGATTGAGGAAAGGAAAAAATATCATGAGGGCAGGCGCATAGTGCTGTAAAAGAGTGCGCAAGATACAGCCAGGCATGAGGAAAGAGACTTTATCTTTGTATGCATTTGACTTCTCCCATCAGCCGACACAGCTCGCAATGTCGATGCGCCTCAGCCGCAAGTTCAGAAAGGCGACAGGTACCCTTTATCCCCCTTAGGCTGGCCTGGTGAAATGCATTACAGGGCTTCATATTCCCTACAAGCGCCCCAACGACCCAGCAGCAGAGACGAGGCACCTCTACTGTGCCAACCTGCCTGAGGTACTGCTGGTGCTGGTGGCTGGTGCTGACGGCTGGATGTAGCATGACAGCTCGCAAGATTGGCGCAGCCACCCACTCTTCCCTGTGTGCTCAGAGTTTGGAGAGGTCGAGACGATGTTCTTAGTTCCATGTGCGCTCAGTACATGTCGATGTGAATCTCTTTGACTTGCTCCTTGAGACAGACAAACCCGTTGCCTACGTGACCTTCGTCGATGAAGGTATCAGCGGCATTCGTGAGTGTGACGATAATGATGTTTGGTGCAAGGCTCGGCCAGGAAAGCCTGTTCGTTCTTGCGGTATACCTCTCCTTGCCCTCTTGGTGAGATGACGAGTGACAGTGAAAGCGGTCTTTCTGGCAAGTTAGTACATGTACAATATGCCGAGGCCTGTGAAAAGAGGCCGGGCGAGCCCAATCCTGCCATTCCCTGCACTTCACTGTCCAAGGATCTGGTAGTTGAAGGATTGATATTGAAGGAAGACTTCTTGTCTCCTGAGGAGAGCGAGGATACTTTGAACCAGGTGTGTTGGGTCTTACACGCCTTGGATTTGAAATTGACTTCATCATAAAGCTGGACGAGTTGGAATGGGAGTCGTCGCTGTCCCGAAGAGTTCAGCATTTTGGCTTCACATTCGATTATGCGACAAGGCGGGTCAACACTCTCAAGACAAGAGCGTTTCCTCCTTTCCTCCTGAGAATAGCTCAGCGGGCACTTAGGGAGAAACTACTTCTCTTCGAACCGGATCAATGCACGGTGAATGAATATCAGCCCGGCCAGGGAATCAGGAGCCATGTCGACACGCATAGTGCGTTTGAGGTGAGGCCTCCTGTTTGTGGAGATGGCAAAAATTTCTTGCTGATTCCTTCAGAACCCTTTCACTCTTCTTGTTTCATGTTGGATAGTTGCTGACGGCTAGCCACCAACAGGATGGGATACTTTCAGTCTCCCTTGGATCCTCCGTAGTGATGGAGTTTCGATCCCCCGACGGGCTTTCGAAGAATGTACAGCTGAAACCAGGAAGTGCTCTCTCAATGCAGGGAGAATCGAGGTACAAGGTGATAGGAGAGCTAGTGTGTCGAAGGACTTTGATAACACTCGCTCGTCCAGTGGGCGCACGGAATTTCAAACAGAAAGAGCGACTTGGTCGATGGTAAATTTGTGCAGAGATGTAGGAGAGTGTCGATGACATTTCGAAAGGTGAAGTCTTCTACGTGTATGTAAGTCACTCATGATGTTTGCAGATCAAGACGTCCCCGTGTAAATGTGAATTTCCCGAGCAATGTGACTCGCAATTAGCACCGATCCCTAAACCTCGCACTGTACAATACACGGTAGGTGTTGGAGAAGTCATGAATTGTTATCTCTCACAATATCTTGATAGGATGGGACTGAGTTAGACCCACTGACTCTTCTCCATCATGCTGACGGTAACGATAGAGAGATCGAAAGTTGCAACAGAGCAGTGATCTGTAGCTTCTGCAAGCAGGGGATAAGGAGCCCGAGATTGAGAGGAGGCATGTACATGAGGTGTATGATACAATTGCAAGTCACTTCAGCGAGACGAGGTGCGGCAACGACGGTCTCTATTGGCAACTCACGATGTTTGACTTGCTAAGATACAAACCATGGCCAAAGGTTGCTGCGTTCCTACAGGGACTTCCTTTCGGATCGATCGTTGCTGATGTTGGATGCGGCAATGGGAGGTGAGCGATACTTTTCTGATGACGGCAACAGATGTTCTCTGACCTGCCTCAAAGATATCTTGCTTGTGCAAAGCATATTGCCGTAATTGCGCTAGATCGTTGCAAAGGGCTCGTCGAACATGCTACAGAGAAAGCAGTGATCAAAGGTCCTTGTGCTCCCTATACCCTTCGCATCTCCCCTTCTCCTCTCCCCCTCGTCCGTCTCCCTCTCGTGCCCCCCCCCCTCTCCCTTCCGCGCGTTACCCTTTCCGTTTCCTCCTCTTCGTTTACTTCACGCCCCTGCCTCTTCCCGCCCATATCTCCACCTGTTACGAAAGCCGAGACACTCAAAGTCAGTTCAGGAGCTCTTAGCATAGGAGACGCCGTCTCGGTACCACTCCGCTCCCGCGCCTTCGATGCTGCCATCTCGATCGCCGTACTGTCCGCGTTAACCTTCCTCGACATCTTACCATCTCATGCAGGTTTTACACCATCTTTCCACGCCTGCAAGGCGGCTCAACGCGATCGAGGTGCGAGGCGACACGGCCGGAGGCTCGTCTGACCAGATGGCAGGAGCTCCTCCGGCTCGTCAAGGTAGGAGGAAGAGTCCTCATCTACGCGTGGGCCAAGGAGCAAGGGAGTGAATCGAGGTTTCACTTCTCCAACTCCGACGAGATGGTACCATGGAGCCTTCCTACCACCGACGGTACTATCCTCTCACACCATGGCCGCCGCGTGCCTGAAGCGTTTTCTTCTCCAGGGAAAGACAACGTCCATGTTCAAAGGTACTGCCACCTCTATGTCGAAGATGAGGTAAGACCTATCAGCTCATCTCCTGCCCCTCCCTCCCTGTGCTCCTCTTCTTGCCTGCTTGCCTTCTTGCCTTCCTACTCTTCCTCCCTCTTCGCCCTCCTTGCCCAACTCTCTGTCATCGCCCTGCCTCCTCTCCTTCACTCCTTCCCTCCCTCTCCTCGCCCCACTCCCCCCCCCCCCCCCGCCACCCACCTCCTCTCCCTCCTTCATTCCATCATCACTCGATGATCGTGTGTTGTCATTCTGTTTCATATGCTATCGCATGCCTCTCATTGCAAGTTTCCACCCCGATAATTTCTGCGCAGCTGCCAAGACTATGTGAAGGTATCTCGTACGCCTCTGTAGAGAGGAGCTATTGGGACTGCTCCAACTGGTGTGTGGAGCTGATCAAAGTGAAGGAGAGGAACGAATAAACCCCCCCTCTTCTTGGAGACACACCCCACGATCATATTCCATTCCGCTCTGTTGCACTCCTGCTCCTGCTCCTGCTCCTGCTCCTGCTCCTGCTCCTGCTCCTGCTCCTGCTCCTGCTCCTGCTCCTGCTCCTGCTCCTGCTCCTGCTCCTGCTCCTGCTCCTGCTCCTTGCTCCTGCTTCGCTCTAGCTCCGATTGGGTTTATCTACTGCTCTGGGGGTTGGGTAGTTATTTTCCAATGGTAGGGTTATTATGGAGCCTGTCCAAGGTCAAAAACAAGGGTAGATGTGGAAGATAGAGGGGTACATGTCTGTTGGGGTGGGTACTAATTTCCCTGGGTGGTTGAGGAATTCGATATGCATCTTCACGTGCGGCAAATGGAGAGGGTGGGAGAAGGGAAGGGGGAGGGAGGAGGAACGGAGGGAGGAGGAGGAGGAGAGATGAAGGAAGCAGAAGACACAGTGATGGAGATGGAGGATGGAGGGGCAGGTGATACATGGAGGGAGGGGGAGGAAGGAAGAGAGGAAGAAGGAGCCAAGGTCCTGTGTATGGAAAACAAGTTCATTCCGGCATCGCAGAGCGCAGTGGATACACGCAGAAACATGTTCTAACCTTCCTTGTCAGGAGAAACTTACAAGTGGCTAACGCAACTTGTCAACCATGGCGGAAGAAGTTGCTGAGCGAGCAAACAAGACAGAGGAGGAGGAGGTGAACAAAGAAGTGCCAAAGAACAAGAAGTACCGGCGAGACAAGCCATGGGATAGCGAGGACATCGACCACTGGAAGATTGAGCCGTTCAGTCAGGGGGACATGAAGACTGCGTTGCTGGAGGAGAGCAGCTTTGCGACTCTGTTTCCCAAGTGAGTTTGTGGCCATTCCCAGAAATGCATGTCCGCAAGCATCAGAGTCTTTATACTGTTTTATGTTCATCACCATCAGCATCATCAGCAGGAGGAGAAGCAGAAGGAGGGAAAGGAGGAGGGAAAGGAGGAGGAGGAGGAGGAGGAGGAGGAGGAGGATTGGAAAGGGGAAAGTGGAGGAGATTTGTGAGTAGGCATAAGTATGAAGTTGCAGTTATGATGGGGAGTTTGATCGTGTATCATACATGTGATGAATATTCACTACAAGTTCTTGAAAGGTAGAGTTTGTTTGCAAAGGAATGTTTAATGTGACAGATGAAACTTAGCTCGTTCCTCTCTTCTGTTTCCTCCTCATGAACTTGTTCCTCCCAGGTACCGTGAGCAGTACCTAAGAGAAACATGGCCAGCCATTACCAAGGAGCTGGACAGAGTCGGAGTAGCGTGCGAGTTGAATCTTGTGGAAGGGAGCATGACAGTGAAAACGACGAGGAAGACCTGGGACCCGTACATCATCCTCAAGTCAAGGGATCTGATCAAGCTGCTGGCCAGAAGCGTTCCTGCGCAGCAGGCATTGAAGATCCTGCAAGACGATGTTCAATGCGATATTATCAAGATCTCTGGAATGGTGAGGAACAAGGATAGGTTTGTGAAGAGGAGGCAGAGGCTACTAGGACCCAACGGGAGCACGCTGAAGGCGCTGGAGCTGCTGACCAAGTGCTACATCCTGGTGCAAGGAACACTGTATCTGTCATGGGGTCGTTCCAGGGGATCAAGCAAGCGCGCAAGGTGAGGAGGCGGAAGAGGGAGAGGAGGGAGAGGGAGAGGGAGAGGGAGAGGGAGAGGGAGAGGGAGAGGGAGAGGGAGAGGAGGGAGAGGGAGAGGAGGGGTAGGGGTGGGGAGGGAGGGAGGAGGAGCGAGGAGGAGTTGTGAGAGGAGAGTTTGCAGGTGATAGTAGATTGCATGAACAACATTCACCCGATCTACAACATCAAGGCTTTGATGAGTGAGCAGAGGAGGAGGAGGAGGATGCGATCGTGATTCGTGCATGCTGCAGTCAGGAGGGAGCTATCTAAGGACGAGAAGCTGAAGAACGAAAGCTGGGACAGATTCCTGCCCAAGTTCAAGAAGAGGAACGTGAAGACTAAGAAGCCCAAAGTGATTCATCTCTTGCTCTGCCTCCTCCTCCTTCTTGTGTTGTGCTGACTTGGCGCGTCGTTGTCCTGTAGGAGACAGCAGCGAAGAAGAAGGAGTACACACCCTTTCCTCCTCCTCAACAGCCTTCCAAAGTCCGATTGTGATGTAGCTACAGTGCTTCTGCTGAAGAGTTTGCGCAGGTGGATCTTGAGCTGGAGAGCGGAGAGTTTTTCCTCAACGAGGCTCAGAGGAAGGAGAAGACAAAGGCAGAGAGGGCAGAGAAGAACAAGCAGATCAAAGAACAGAACGACAAGGTCGAGAGAGAGGTAGTTGTACGTCTCTTGTTTGACTCCTGTGTGCAGGACAAGGCTGCTGTGTTTGTCCCTCCCAAGGAGAAGAAGAAAAAGAGGAAGAGTGGGGAAGATGAAGGGCAGGTGAGAGGTTTCTTGGAGCTGTCGAGTTTGCTCATGGAGGGTGTTGTAGAAGGAGGAGAAGAAGAACGATATGAAGGCTCTGAAAGAACAAGTGGCAAACCTGAAGGAGAAGGTGAGAAAATGAACGCCGAGCGCTGACGGGGCGATCTGACGATGAGGTGGGAAGGTGAAAAGCGAGGGGGTGAAAGTAGGGGAGAAGCGCTCCAAGGCAGAAGATTTCTTGACGTCACCGTCGAAGAAGAAGAAGAGTTGAAACGGATGTGCGATGCTGTGATAAATAAAAGCGCGATAGAAATTTATTGTAATGAAGAGGAGAGGGGAGGGAGGAGGGAGGGAGGGAGGGAGGGAGGGAGGGAGGAGGGAGGGAGGGAGGAGGGAGGGAGGAGAGGAAGAAAAACTTTTGAGAGAGTTGGCAAGGAGGGCAGGGGGAAGTAACCCATGGAGAGAGTAGGAGAAGAGAGTTGGGAGCAGAAAAGTAGCGTGTGAGGGGATCGGTAGTGCTCGCATCGGTAGCGCAAACGAGAATGAGAAGAAAACTTGAATGAGAAGAAAACTTGAATGAGAAGAAAACTTAAAAAAGTTCGTTATGACGTCTCTGACAAACTTCGACGTTCACAACCCGTCAGGATGCAACGAGTTCACAGAATCATTCTTCACCTCAACTTCTCCATGTGAAGTGATCTCGGATCGTTGGTAAAGCATCCTATCTTGATCTTTCCTCGCTCCGTGTTTATCACCTACCCCCTATCATCCTTCCTTCCCTCCTCATTACCCCCGCTGCTGCTCCCTCCCTTTCCTCCCTTTCCTTCCTTTCCTCCCCTCTTCCTCTCCCCTGTCTCCCCCCCCATAGCCTTCCCATCACCTTCACATACTGTCTCCTCTCCTCCTCTCCTCCTCCCCTCTCCTCCTCCTTTACCGTGAAGTCTGGAACCACAAGGTCTTCGAAGTCAGGAGGAGGACGCCATTGGGACCTGATGCCGGGCAGTTACATGGGAGTAGGAGGAAAGCAGGAGATTGGCACGTCAAGGAAGGAAGACAAGGAGCAGGAAAAGTGGAGATGATGGGACGTGGGGCTGAGGAGGGGAGGAGGGGAGGAGAGGAGGAGAGAAGAGGTGCAGGGAGGTAGGGAGGGAGGAGGGAGGGAGAGGAGGGAGAGGAGGGAGGAAAGGACGAGAGAAGGGAAAGTGTAGAGGTGGCGCAGGAGGAGACAAGCAATATCCCTCACGTGTCTGTGTTCTCGCCCTCCTTGCTGATCCCAACAAACAAGCTTGCCCACAGGGACTCGTTCGTCTTCTCTGCTCCAGGGTCACCAGCATGCCCTCCTCCTCTCATCCACGACGCCCTCCTCCTCCTCTCCTCCTCACCAAGACGGTCTGAGTCTTCGACATGCAGGTAGGAGTTGAAGAAAGAGACGTCGCATGCCTGCATGCCGTCACGGCTGTCACCAGAGACGTCAAACGGTTGTCGACGTCAAAAACGCACATGCACTGCTCTCATCGCCTTCTTGGGGTCTGTTGGGCCGATGACTCCCAAGTTCTTCACACGACATGTCAGCCAGCAGTCAAGGATGTTTGCAAGGATTTTGGATGTTGGAGGAGAGGAAAGGGGAGAAGAGGAAAGGGGAGGGGAGGAAAGGGGAGGAGAGGAAAGGGGAGGGGAGGAAAGGGGAGGAGAGGAAAGGGGAGGAGAGGAAAGGGGAGGAGAGGAAAGGGGAGGAGAGGAAAGGGGAGGAGAGGAAAGGGGAGGGGAGGGGAGAAAAGGAGGAGTGAAGGTGAGGGGAGAAGAGGAAGAGGAAGGGAAGGGGAGGAAAGGGAGGTGAAGTGAGGGGAGGGGGGGAAACAACCAGGAAGAAATCGGAGAAAAGGACGGGGAAGTCAGCAAAGCTCGCATGCTTCGTTCCGATCAAGTGCATCACATAAACTTCTCCTCCTGACTCCTTGGCTGCCTCCACGAATGACTTCTGCACTTTGGCACCTTCAGTGGGCCAGATGTTGTCGAAGGTCGAGCTGTTGAGAAACAAAGTCGGGCAGGTCAACGCCGAATGTGCAGTCTTCTCGTCGAGTGGGAACAGCCAGGAGTCATGCAGGACACAGGCCTGGCTTCACTTCAGTTGGCTGCAAGACAGAGGAGCAAACAAGTGAAGACGTGAAAGAAGAGGAGGGGAGAGCAAGACGTAATGTGATTCAAGGTAGATAGAGCAGGACGAACCTTGAAACGTGAGTCCACGAAGCTCGTCTTGAGGATAGTGCATGCTCCGAAAGAATGTCCCATACCGCCCAACCTTGACATGTCGATCTTATTTGCAAAGACATTTCCATTCTTGATCACATTAGACATCCACTCCTCTCCCTCAAACTTCCCTTCACTGATGGCCTGGATGACATCTGCGATAAATCGAACCTCCTGCTCAACAAGTCAACTGCCTGCACATCCTTCACATCCCATCCCTAACCTCCACCCGCTGCTCCAGCTGCTGATGCCTGAACTCGTACTGTGACACTGGCTGCCGCTGTTCCTCAGGGACTAGACTCGCCGTGAATCCTTTCTTGATGCGGTTGGGGGATGGCAAAAAAGCTTTTCTCGGAGCGTGCTTGTACTCCGTTACAGTCTTGTCAGGGAGAACATTGAGGCTGGCGGATCCGTCCGAGTGCTCCAGCGCAAACACGACGTAGCCATGGGAAGCAAGATCGATGCAGACAGACGAGTAGCAGCTCCTGTTCCCTCCTAGCCCGTGGGAGTAGATGATGGGAACAAACGTTTCCAGCGCTGCCGTCGGAGGCTCGTCGGCGAACGTCGGAATCCTCACACCTGAGAAGAGCAGGCCCAGCCCGATCTTGCCGATGGTCTTGCAGATCTCCGGAGGCATCCAGGGCATGAGATTGTACATGGTGATCCCGTACCCCTCCGCATAACTCGGACATGGTGCGCCGTACGTCTCCGGTAGCCACTCCGCCCTCCTCCTCTCCTCCTCTCCTCCTGTCCACTTGAGGGTGAAGAAGTTCCGTGCGAGGGAGGCATGTGCCGTTTGAGGAGAGGCAGAAGAAGACCATCCCGCCGTGCTGGGGGAGGAGGGTAGGCTGGAGCTGCTGCTTGCCTGCACCTTGTCGATGGGGTAGAAAACGCGGAGGACCATGGCTCTGCCTTCCTTCCTCCAGAAGCAGTCGCTCTGCCCTACGTCAAAGCGACCGGAAGGAGGCGGCATGTCCGGCATCTTGGAGGAGGATGCGACGGCAAGGGCTAGACTCACTGCCCGACCCCTAGTCCCTTCCTACTTCACTCTCATCAGCCTCAAGTGCCTGAGTCTTAGATGGCGACCTGAGACAGTGCGAGAGAGAGAGAGAGAGAAAGAATCAGTCAGGGCAGTTAGCAAAACACATGGAGATCATGCACAAGAGCTGTGTGAGGCAGATCTGGTACCGAGACACCTGGCACCACAACCCAACAAAGAGCAGAATCTGTACTCTGCCAGTTCCTCTTGAATGTAACGAGCTATTTAGATGGAGGGTGAGGTTTCATGTCGAAATTGAAATGAATTACATTCCCTGATAGATTTCTAAACCTTTTTCGTAGGTCTACCTTCACTTCCACCCCCCTCCTTGTTTACACATCTGCATCAGCAGCCTCCTGTTTCAGACAACCCTTCGTTTCCTGTATCTCAGCTCCACACTCCCCATCTCTCAAATCGTCTCCATCATCAATCTCTCCTCCTCCTCCTCCTCCTCCTCCTCCTCCCTGCCTCCCTCCCTTCCTCGTGCCATATGCTGTTCCCCTCCACTACCACGTCAACTCTCCTACGTACAGCATTGCTGCTCAATCTTGTGAACCCGTACTTTTACATCACAGGGTGGGGTACTTTTAGTAGGGGTACTTTATTGAGTTTCACTTTACAGAACACAGGATTTAAAGGGGTGGGGTGTAAAAAGCATGGTAGTGGTAGGGGAATGTTACAAGGGGTTGGTTTGAGTCATCGCAGTATCAGAGAGAAATGGGGCGGAAGAAAAGTTCCAAGGCCAAGGGAGGAGGAGGAGGAGGAGGAGCAGCAGCAGCAGAAGCAGGAGACGATCAAGCTGTGCAGAGAGAGGATGAGACACAGGAGCAAGTTCAGCTAGAGGCCGAGAAGCAGGTCGAGGAAGGGGCAAGAGAGGAGAAGGTTGCTGAACCTGTAAATGCGACTTCGTCGCCCGAGGTTCGATTTCAATGCACCACGGTTTTCTGTCTAAAGTTTGCCCAGGACAACAACGTGCATCCTGATGAGGAGCAGGACAAGGTCAAAGCCGGAGACGACTCTGCACACAAGTACCTCTCTTTGTGATGTTGTGCTCAGCCCAGCACCTGATACCGGATGTCGCAGGTACTCCCTTGAGCAGCTGCTCAAATCCACTGATGCGCTACCATCACTGAATGAGCTGTGAGTGAACTGAATACATCTTCACTTCAGGTTGTTGACATGCGCATGTGCAGGAGGCCATCGTTGGATTCCGATGGATACATCAAACCAGTCCCCATGCAAGCAGACGAGGACGAGGGCAGTGACAGTCAGAGCCAGCCGAGATCGGAGGTTCCAGCGAGGTTGCACTTAACTCAGCAAGGACTGATGCAGCGATGGCAGTTGCTCAGAGCGCTATCAGGCGGCGCGAATGGTGGAGCCGCGTCAGAATTCTTGAAGGTGAAAGCGAAGATTGATCTTGTCGCAAATGATGATAAGAGGGTTCAGAGAACTGGTTTGGATATCCCAGAGGAATGCGATCCTGGAATACCGAATCATCAGAAGGAAGCAGTGAGTTGAAGGAGCTGACCGGTGCCTCGTGCTTCTCACTTCTTCCCCCCCCCCACCGCTTCTCCTTCTCTCCGTTTCTTCAGGCCCAGGGCGCAGACTCCAAGTCGTCTCAGACTCCTGCCGAAGCTCTTGTAGATCTCTCAGTGTGCTGCCTGCTTCTTGCTGATGCTCACAGCAGGTCGAACCCTCGCAAGGCGGCGAAGCCGTGAACAAGAACATGGCCCAAACCGCCCCCGTCAACAAAACTTCCCAAGTCGACGATCGACAGCGCGCTGCAATCCCTCCGTCGGATGATGATCTCGGTTGACACAACTATGACCTCCTACTCTGTTGTCTGCTTCTGATCGTGTTTGACAGTCACTGACATTTGTGCGTCCACCGACGAGCCGACCTTCAAACCTTTCAAGTATCATTTGTATCCCATGATACTTTATACTTGATCGTTGCTGATCCCTTTGCCCATGGTTCTAATCCTTCGATGTGACTTTCTATCTCAAGGGCACCCAGCGACATGGAGATATCGAGCACTGAGGCCTGGACTACAGCTGCGGTCACTTCTCGAGCTTCCGGACCTCTCGTTGACTGACGCTTGCTCCACCAGTTCCTTGCTGTCGGAACGGTCTCATTGCTGTGGGTTACCTTGCGACTCACCGTCCTCAAGCGCTCGTAGACTTTCGAGAGGTTCAAGTCACCGTATGATGTTTATGAGGCGTTAGAACAAGTGAGGTTTACGATCCAATGCCGATGCAATGTTGATGAAATGGGAAGTCTCAAGATTGAGTTCATTTCGAGTACAGGCAAAGCATGGCATTGAAGCACGCTGCCGTCTTTCGTGCTGTCAGTATCTTGTGGGTGCTTTTGCTACTTCATTGCCTTTGTAAGAAGTCGATGAAACGGCACTGCCGTCCGGCTCTCATACAGTACGGTCTTCAGAACTTGTAGAGAATTCAGGTTGAACAGGGGTCTCATCAATGGAGACAAGGAGATTCTTCGCACAACACGACTACGATGCTTACAATAGTGTGTGATGTGCACTAGAGCGCTCAACTGTACGATCTTCGGAGTTCAAACTACGAATGCCGCACCCTGTCTTACTGACCAGAGTTCACCGTCCACTTGTTCTTTTGCAAACCTGCTTTTCGATCCCCGAGGAAGATTTGAAAGAAGAATTTTGAAGGCTTTTAAAAGTATAATTGTTTTTAGTGTGTCACTGGTAGTCACTGCTCGCTACGAGGTACTGTGAATCAGTACCATTCACTGCTAACAATAAGTCTTTATTATTCGTTTTCTGTATATTCGTACTTTATGTCATAACGATTCAATATAGATTTACCTTGCAAATATACAATAATAACATTAATAATAATATACCAATCGAGCAATTTGAAAAAACTGTGTTTCAAAACTTCAAATCCTGACTTGAAACTCCATACATTTGGGGGTATACCACAAATTGGTATCCAACGGTTGCGCTCGCTATGCCGTGGAAGGCGGCAAAAAACGCTGGCTGGACCAATGTGCGATGCTGAGGAATGGAATCAAGTCATTGAAAGAATACCTGTCTGTATGTCTCTTGATTTGTGTACAACCATTTTCGATCGAAAAGCATGTCTTGCTGATCTGCTAGAACTTCCTTCAGCTAGATTGTACATAGCTTTAGGGCCGCTATTACAATAGCTTTGCTCCAGGAAGATCTAATCCAAGGATTTTGATGAGAAAGAGTAGGAGGATGGAGCTGCAATGGCAGAAAATGAATGAATGTAATTATGGGAAAAACTGAATATCATACATAGGATATTGAATTGCAAAGATCAGTAGTTGGTGCTATTTGAATTTGTCGATGTGAATGTAAGCAGAAGGAAATATCACAACACATAGCAGAATCAGGGCATTTGAACAATGCAATTTGTTTGATTGAAGTGATGTGGCTTGGTTTTATTCCATCCCGTCTTGTTTGAAAAAAACAATTTATTACACAGCAAGCAAGAACATATCTTACAATGGAACTAACATGGTGATCCTCCAGGGACCTGTAGTCCAATGTCAAACACTCACCATGAATGAGATTTCCATACCTTGCGTCGAACTCAATGAAATTCGCTGGTCCTGGCAAACAGCAAATAGAAGCATGTGACGTGATCAGGTAGACTATCATGGCCGACGTTTCATTGCCTCCTCTTGGAGGGAGTGGGCTAGTTGATCACCTTTATGAATACCTTTGGGCGAAGAACAACCTCTTGCAGACAAGATGCATGTACCACAAGTGCCCCCCTGTCTTGGTGCCAGATACCATCTTGCTGAAGAACAAACAGCCTATTGCATGGTATTTCACGTCACTGAAGACAGGAACTTTGCAGAGAAAAACCAAGGAGCTGAATGTAGATAAGATTTCTGAGGCACTGATCAGAAGGGTGGGCGATGACAGTGATGTGGTGTGTACTTACGTAGGCAGTGCTCCAGGTGATGCCTGTATCCCTTCACAGCAGCGGTCTTGCTGATGCCTTTGTTTGACAGGAGATGTTCAACCCATCACAGAATTTCTCTCACAGGCTGGCCTCGAGTTCTTCTTGTCCACCCCGCCTTCTAGGCGTACGAAGCAAGGACTGCTGCAATCGTTTGTTCTGCCCAAGGGAACAAGCAACTTTGTGATCCGAGTCTCGTGGTCATCGGCTGAGTGCTCTATGGACTCCTGCATCAATGTCAACAAGCTCAACGATCCAGAGCTCGAGGTGCAAGATCGGGCATGCACCAACGACGACCAATACTGCGTCATAGTCCCAATGTCTGGAAATGTCCTTTACATGCAGCTGGAGAGATTGTGTGCATGCATATCCGAGCATATCAACCTGGTTTCGAATCAATTGTTCACCGTCACGCACATGGTTGTGAACTTCAAGATCGATTCCGAGGATCGAGTGTGGCTCTTGTGGTGTGAGCACCTCGAAGTATCTGACGAGGTCTGTTGTGTCTTTCACTCACTTTTGATCGTGCTGATAGATACCTTGCCTGCAGAAGGGTCATCCTCTTCCGATGCAGGTGGAATATCCACGGGAAAGTGAAAACGTCTCGGACGAGGAGGACGAGAGGAGGAGAGATGACAAGTTCTCGAGGAGGCCTTCCAAGTCGCGGACGAGATCAAGAGACAAGCAGAGGAAGTCGAAACGAAGGGACTCGGACGAAGAGAACGCCTCGCCGTATCGAAGGAAGCACGAACACTCTGAGAGTGGTTCGGATGAGGATCTTGACTTGATATTGTCATCTGCTCCTTCCTCAGTGCAGGGAGACCTCGATGATGGGTTCTCGCCGGATTTCGTCTTACTTCCTGAGACAAAACGTAGCTCCAGCAAGACCAAAGGGAAGAAGGCTCATCTCCCCAAGTCCAGCAAGAAAGTTCAGGAGCGAGAGAGACCGGCATCAGAGTCATCATCGAGTGTCAATGATGAGAACGTTCTTGCACAAGAAAATCAGAGGTCAGTGCATTGTCTCCCTCATATCTCCTCTCTTTGTCTTTCATCAGTTTTGGAACTGTGATCAATGAGTTTGATGATTGTGATTTCTGTTCCGTTTGATATTTTTTTCAGCACCAACTCCGGCAGCAGGGCACGGAGTGCTGGGTCGCGGACCCAAGAGAAAGCAAGGACTGCTAAAGGGCCGGAAAAGGGTTCTAGAGAGCAAGAGTTCAAGATGTCCATGAGAGAAGAAAAGAAACGGAGGGAGGAAGCAGAGAGGAAAGCGCTGGAGGCGGAACAAAAGCTGAGAGTGGCGGAGGCAAAAGCCCGGGCAGCTGAGATGAAATTGAAGAAGGTTTCACAGGAATCTGTACAGGGGGAGAGCAGCGTAGCAGGTGGAGCAGCAAAGCCTGTCGTGTTGCCCTCCATCCAAAAGCAGCCACCTAACGTCAAAACCACCCCGCAAACTTCTCCTATGGAAGCGCTAATCCCCCTTGAAGGGGGCGACATATCGGATGCCACCGAGCAGTCGAGGATGGCAGAGGCTGTATTCCGAGCTGCTGAAATCCAGCCAGCCGACGCCTCGGAGATTGAGCCTGATGCGGGACAGGTTGTGAAATCGGATCTCATCTTGTTGTCTGACCCGTTTGACTAGGCTGAGCTCGAGGGTGATACAGCCTTGCAGCAGCAGGAGATGCAGGCGCAGGCCCAAGAGGAGCCTATGGGGGAAGAGGCGCAAGGAGATCAGACGGCTCCATCCCCAGAGCTTGTCGAGGCCGTTGAGCCGCTAGCTGATCAGGAAGAAGTTGTTTCCACACCCGAAGTCGGGGATCGGCCGGAATCGAAACAGGGGTCGGAGCAGTCTGATGCTTCTGTAGTTTTCGAAGGACAGGATGTGGAGGAACAAGAAATCGAGATTGCGCCTGTCGAGAGTGCCGTTCGCATCCCTGACGAAGAAGCTCCTCCAGAGAGCTCTCACGAGCTCGCTGCTCCTGAATCAGAAACAAAACCAGCTGTGCAAGCCAAGGAGCCTGATGTTGACTTCGCTGCCCCTGCCACCCAAGGGGACGAAGGCTGGGACTCAGCGCAGGAAGATGACTTCGAGGACAAGCCGATCCAGGGGATCGAGACCGTCGACATCCCCGTGGTTGCGCATGTCTTGCCTCCTGCGCCGGAAGCCGTTGCTGGGTCAGCAGCTGGGGTCGTCGGAGGAGAAACAACTGAGCCGGCGGTCGATCTCTCTGCTCCCCCTCAGGAACCTTCTCATCCATCTGTTGACCCGCAACCTGCGGAGCAAACAGTCGCCGACAGACCCAAGGAGGTCAGCGCCAGTGTCAACGTCAAGCATGCTGCTGCTTCTGCCGCCTCCTCCACTACCTCAGCCGCAGCCGCAGCTGCTGCAGCACCTTCTCAGCAGCAGAGCGCTCTCAGCTCAGTGGATGCGATCCGGTCGTCTAAGTGCAATGCCATGGAGGAATTCAGCGAGGAGAAGGACCCGGGGGGGAAGACGGAAAGGAGCCTGGGAGACGGGGGCGAGTCAAGACCGATAGACAAGCACCTTGATGGGGACCAGGTTGACCGAGACTCTCGTATGATCAACCAGGCCTCGTCGTTCCAATTTCGCTCTGAGATCCGTGTGGGAAGTCAGGGCGGAAAATGGCAGTCCATCAGCCTCCCTGAGCAAGTGGAAGGGCAGCGAGTGGGCACAAGCGCATCCTGCTATCAAGCCGGGGCCGAGTCTTTCTCAGTCACCTCCATCTTCGAACAAGACGAGTTCCAACCTCCTCATCTGCAGGCGCTGGTCCAAGGAGAAGCGCACTTTGGCATGTCGAGCGATACGGACAGGTGCGCCGAGCACACTGATTCTAGGAATGTGTCCGGTCGGAACGTTTCGTCCGAGTATGACAGGGCGGATAGCATGGCTGTTTCTTTCCAAGTCGCTGGTTCTTCAGATGAAGGCTCTCAGCTGCCCGAGGTGAAGAGGAGAGGGACGGTTGAGAAGCAGAGGGAGAGCCGCGTTGAGATGATCTGTACTCCCATCTCTAACATGGGCACGATGGAAGAAGACTTTGAAGAGTTCAAGGTAGCATACGGCCTCCCGAGTTTCCTCTGGGAGTATGAGCAGCCAAGAGGTGAGAAGGACATGTATGATAAGGACGAGGAATCTGCTCGGGTGGCCGAAGAAAGTGATTTCATCTCGTTGACTCATCGGGAGAAAGGCGCGCACGTGTTGCAGATTGAGACCACAAGCTCGGAGTTCGCCTCCACGTCGGATAGAGGATACGCGCCAGAGTTCATGAAGTCGTTTGGCACCAATGCTCTGCAGTTCGAAGGTCAAGGGAGGGAGACGAGTTCAGACAACATCGTCAAGAACTCTGAATGGGCCTTCGATGAATTCCTCAGGATCCCCCAAGATGAAATCAAGTACAACCACGAGCCAGACGAAGCTGAAGCTGGGGAAGTCATCGAGCTCAAGTACGACCTAGCGTTCTCCAACGACGAGGAGAGGCAGCTCTTTGCAAAGTCCCAGCGCGAGAAGCTGGCCAAGGCCCTCGGGATACCAATAGAGTGCATCGAGATCTCGGATGTCAAACCTGGATCTCCCATCACCCTGCTGAGGCTGAAAGTCAGGGCCTCTGACGCAGCTCTGATACCTCCCTCCTCGTCCTCTTCGTCAGGACCGGCAGCAGCCGAGAACGGCGAAAGTGCGCTGGACGTCAGGCCAGTAGCTGTGAGTATGCTGGAGACCAGTCAAGGAGCCGGCCACAGCCTGCTGAGCACGAGGCTTCACGAGACGTTCGGAAGCTACGTCGAAGTCGAGGACAGAGCCGTGCAGGAGCGGGTTCAGAAGACAGCTCCAGCAGAGGTGCTGGACTCGCTCAAGGCGTACTCCAAGGAGGTGCAAGACTTCCCTCGTTACGAAGACGAAGGGCGGATGAAGGGACTGAGCGACAGCAGCGTGCCGGGAGTTCGGCATGAGGCTCCTGAGCAGCTGGAGATCTTTGACGGAGAAGTACAGTCGATCTACTCTCAAGTGCAGAAAGTCAAAGGACAGATTGCCGAGTCTGAGGACATGGGCGTTGACCCAGTGTACAAGCCAGGGAGAGAGATCATGCTTGACGACCAGTACTCCAGCGCCAAGGTCTCAAGAAGACCTCCAGGGCCAGCGAAGAGGTTTCAGGACGTCACGGTGATATCGGATAAGAACTTCGAGGAGCAGGTGAAGATTCCTTACCAGGAGGTGGAGAATACCAGGAGGCTGAAGGAACAGGAAGACGAGCTCAACTTCCTCCCCGCGCAACGCGGAGCCATGGGGCCTCGGACTGCGATCTTGGCCAGGAAGGACGAAGGGGTGGAGGACCTGCGGTACGATCGCATGGACGAGCACGATCTGAGGATGGAGGAGAAGCTCAAGGAGGATGCCAGTCTAATGCCCTCGCTGAAGCTCACCAAGGCCGTGGAGGAGATCGAGTATGAGCTGGCGCAGAAGGTGACAGGGAGGGAAGACCCCAGGACTACCATCCCCTGTGAGCCCGCGGGGTTGAGCGCGGGGGACAGGAGGGAGAAGAGGAAGGGGAAGAACGGAGAGAAGTTGGGCAAGGCGGCGATACCCGAGCAGTACATGGCGTTCGGAACTGAGGGAGAAAGTCAGAGGTTGGCCCCTAACGTCGTCACCCTCGAGAGGCAAGGGGTGGGTGGTGCGGAAGAGCTGAAGCAGAAGCAGTTCGAGACTGTCAAGAACAAGCCCGGGATGATGGAGTCCGTGGCTCCTGACCTGATCCAGATGAAGTTCGACGTCTCCTTCGTCGACGAGAAGGCAAGGATGCAGTTTGCGGAGAAGCAGCGGATCCACCTTGCGAAGCTGTTGAGGATACCCGAGGAGTCGATCTCCGTCAGACTCGCAGTCCCAGGGTCTCCGATCACTGTGATCACGTTCGAGGTCGACTCGGGAGTCGTACGTCCCATCAAGGTGGAGGATGACCCGATGCGCGAGTCTCGCCCCTTCGACCAGGCCGTCCTCGACGTCTCCATCCTGTGCCCGCACGAAGACACTGCCGACGCTCTCATCTCAAACTTCCGGGGCATCTTCGGCCCGTCGGTGCCCATATCACGGATGACGTCTGTCGGGGCTGCCAGCTACACGTCAGCAGAGAAGGCTGTCAAGTTCTCGGTGGGAGGAGGAGAGGAGAAAACCCCTGCATACCTTCGGTCGAGGGAGGAGCTGGAGAGCAGAGCGAAGAACGAGGGTGGGGCTCTCGTGTCAGAGAAGGAAGCCATCGAGGTCGCGCATGAGGAGGATGCGGAGAAGCGCAGAGGCAGCAACTCAGGAGCCAAGGGGATGGCGGAGTATAGGCTGGAGGACAAGAAGCCTGTGTTGTCCTATGACCGGCGGCTCCCCAAGAACGCCAAGAACAAGCAGCACCTGCTCTCTCGCATTCACACCATCGAGTCAACTCTGCAGCGCCTCTACGGGAAGCTCGAGGCGGATACGGAGCTGCCGGACATCGAGAGCATCGAGCAGATCATGAGCTCGACCATCAAGCAGACTGTCTACACCGCTGACAGGCCCGAGGAAGCGTACCAACCGCCAGCAACCGCCAAGGAGCAAGCGCTGGAAGCAGAGGCCTATCCACAGGCTCCGAGGGCAGACAAGGGAGCGGACGAGGCTCTTGTGGACCGCGGGTGGAGGGACGCGCAGGAGGGTCCTGAGGTGGACGAGGGCGAGAGGAAGCAGCAGCTGCGGCTTGAGCGGAGGAGGCGCATGGAGGACCGTGAGCGGTTCAGACGCGAGAGAGAGTCGTTGGAAGTCATGGGGAAGCCTTCCGTGTCCTTCGAGCAGGATGATGATGCGGATGAAGAGCCAGACTTGCACGCTCTCAAGGCCATGCAGGCTGGGCAGGAGATTCGGCTGAGGCCCAAGAACATTCCAGCTGGATCCTACGAGGCAGAGGAGGATGGAGCAGACGACATGGGGGGCGACGCCTCTGATCGCAACCTCCCGGAGAAAGCTCCTCAGCCGATGGCGAGGAAGAAGTCGACGGAGCTGCTGGAGCTCTCCAAGGACGAGCTCCGAGCGATGGCGGCTGAGGACGAGACGACGGCATGGAAGTCAGCCTACTCCAAGGTGCGACATGGCAAGAAGTCCGAGCTGATAGCCCTGCTGGACTCGGGCTGTCCGGTGGACCTCAAAGATCCAGCTGGGAACACTCTTCTTAACATCGCAGCTCAGAACGGCCACAAGTCCATCATCAAGGCTCTGCTGAGGCGAGGGGCCGCGCTGAACACGCAGAATCATAATGGGCAGACTCCACTGCATTTTTGCTTCACGTATGGCTACACGGACCTTGGAAACTATCTCATCTCCAAGGGGGCTGACGATACTGTGCAGAACTTTGCTGGGTTGACATGTTACGAAGGGCTCGGAGAGGGCTGAGGTTGTAAATACCAACAGAAGTTTGACGCTCGTAAAGAATATATTCACATTCACATTCGTATTTACATGCCAACACGCCCTGTACGCTCCAGTCCTCCCAAGAGCATAACGTGCTTCATGATGCGACGAACCATGCTCGGCTGGAGCAAGTTCATGTGGCATCTGCGCTTCTGCTGCCGATGGCGCGACACGTCCAACTTCTCCTCCTCTCCTGCGCTGCTCATAACCTTTGCGACCTTGTTGTGCTGCCAGGAGTCCTCAGCGTCGCCCTTGTACACTGCCAGCCACAACAGTCTCTCCACTTCCCATCCCTGCTGGCCGTCAGTAAGGGTGACTGAACAAGACAACAACAGTACAACCTGGCTCCAGATCAGCAGCAGCTCTGCTGCAGTCTCCCGCACACACATCTCCGTGGCTGCTCCGCCTCCCTCACTGATGACTCGCAGGTGCTTCAAGACCAGCTGACTGTCGAGCTGAGAGGCGTCCAGCTGAAGCAAGGATGAGAACTCATGGGCAGAACAGCTAGGGAGACGGTACCTCGCTCTTCTTCACCTCATCAGCACCTCTCAACATCTTCCTCATCGCCATGACCACGTGAGTTTCTGTGAGCGCCTGCAGAATACATGAGTCGAAGGATCAGGAACAACTTGTTCATTGCACCCTGTCTTCCTTATCCCGGCCCTCCTTGCCTAACGCGCGGAACAGCACTCGCCATGCACCGACTTCTGCCAGGAGCTTCCTGTTGGCCGCACACCCGTTGGCCATGCAAGCGATTGAAAGAGCGACCTTCGTTCATCGCGTCAGCTTGCCCGCAAATTTGACGGAAGGGAAGTGAGAGGGAGGGGAGAGGAAAAGTGGGGGGGAAGGGGAGAGGGGAAGTGGGGGAGAGGGGAGAGGGGGAGAGGGGGGGAAGGGGAGTGAAAATGAAGGAGGAAGGGGAGGCGGGGAAGAGAAGAGAGTTAGGGGAGAGAATGGAAAGAGAAAGGGTGAGGAAAGTTTGGGGAATGGGACGGGAAGGAGATGAATTACCTTCCAGGTGGTACCGTAAATGTTCGAATCGGGGGGGTAGGGGCAGCCGTCTACAGCCGCCTCAAGGTATTGGAGCATCCACAGGGCACTCCTACGATCGACCACGAGAGCCTGTGGACAAACGTCAGTTGCTGTCTGCAGTCAGGCCGTGACGTGTTCACCTCGGCGATGGCCAGATCGCAATGGCTCGAGCTCCTGTCGCCCTGCACTCGGAAGACAAGGCTGTCGTCGTCATCCTGGCCCCGAGAGAGCTCACGATGACGGGCATGCTGCTGCTTCCCGATCAGACAGCCACTCCCTACCACCTTGACGACAGCGGAGAGCGACTGCATGTAGCTGACTGACGGCACTTCGACTGCCCCCTCCTCCTCCTCGGGTCGGTACTGATGGAGAGCGTTCGACAAGGATTGAACAGCTCCTGCCTTGATCAGATGGTCCCTCAGTTGCGCATTGTTGGTCAGGTTGGCAAGGGCGGCCGTTGCAATCTGCTGTCCGAACTTGCTGCTGCCCCGCGAGCGAGAGCTGGAGATTTCTACAAGGAGGGGAAGAATCCCGGCCTCCTCCAAGATGCGCTGTGAGACATGGTTCATACCAACGACGTTGTTCGTCGCGCACAGTTGATGCTCTATCAGCACCTCATCTCCATTCGCCTTACGCAGGCCGTTTGCCGTGACCATGAGCAGGCCGCTCTCAGCTGCTGCCCCCGCATTCCCGCGATGGTCATATACCGATTCAGCGATCGCACGAAAGAGGGAGAGCCTGAGCTCAAGCTGCCCCTTCTGCTCCTCCAGCAGACCAACTGCCTGCACCATGACCTGCACGACCCCTTGCCGGCAGATCTCCTCCTTGAAGCTCCTGCCTTCCTGCCGTGATTTGCAGCAATGGGCTATACGATTAGCTGCCTGCACCTTGGCCGAAATGTCCTGTCCTCGCAGAGCGCGCAGACAGTCTCTGACCTCTGCCTCATGCTGTCTGGGTAGTGGGTCTACAAGTGAGCATGTTCTATTGGAGTTGCTCGACGACTGGGGAGAGTTATACGTCTCCGCAATCGACAACCACGCTTGCGTTAGAGACATGCGAGTGTTGCCAAGCATCGACCGCACCATGTTCAAGAAGCTGATGATTACTGTACACAAGGAATGAGGGAACACGTGTAGGACACGTATCTTGACGAGAGGCTGTTTCCAGCCCAGCACCGATCTCAGGAAAGGGCAAGGCTATTAGAGAGCAAACAGGTTCCGATAGCGTATCAGTTCAGTTCAGGATACGAGTAGAGAAAGGAAGAAGGAGGAGCTAGCAAGACAATGACAGTAGAACAAGACAAAGAAGGAAAAGAATAGAAGCAAGGGAGATGGAGAGTAACGAGGTTGTAGCGGGAAGAAGGAGGAGGAACGGGCGGGGGAGGGAGGGTTGGGAGGAGGAGGATGAGGTTTTGATATTTGCAGGTCGAAACCTTTGGAGCACCCATGAGCGAGGGCTATTCAAGGAGGGGTGGTGTATGGGTACCTTGGGGTGGGGTACCTCGTGTGGGGGTACTCTAGTCAGTCTGTTGCCAATCACGGGAGGTGGGAAAAGGAGGGGTGGGGGTAGCGCGAAGAGATGCGGATTACGCTGGGAGCGAGAGATACCCTTTGTAAACAACTCAATTTTAAATTAATCAAGAGATGAGATTTGAGAAACTTTAAAAAATGATAGTAGTCAGAAACGATGAGATATGAGGGATATGCTCGAAAAGATCCCAAATTACATCGTTTGGCACTTCTGGCCATGAACAACTGTTTCATTATTATGATGCTAGTAAATTCAACTTTCTGCCCTTTCACTCTCTATTATTATCTCTCTGAGGGGAGCTTCGACTCCGGTAGCCTGCTTGGGCGGGCCGCCGGCCGGGCACCCGGCGGGCCGGGAGTCGTCGCCCGGGCCGCTTGGACTCCCGGGCCCGCCGGGTGATCGGACACGCTGAGCATCGGAGTCACCGGGGGCCGGCCGTTTCACGGTGAGTGAAACGGTCACAAGTTCTGCGCCGCCGCTGAATCACCCGGCGGCCGGCGGTCCGATCCGACTCGGCGACTCAGTCGACCCAGTCATATTGGCGTACTCAGTAGTACTACTGAGAGGCTAGCCGGGCGTCACGCCGCCGCGGCACGGCACCGATGACAGTGTCCGTCCGATCCGCACGGCAGCACTGCGGCCAGGCAGTGCCACGGTGCCGGTGGGCAGCCGCTGACAGTGCCTCGGAGCCTCCGACGGATGAAGGTTGCGGTGCCCCCGTGGCAGTACGGTCCGTAGGCCGCCAGTCAGCCTGTGACTCAGGGCCGACTCGGACCGTACTCGTCACCCGGCGGCGGTGACTCAGGCTCCCGCCTGAGTCCGGTCGCGCGGCCTGGCGGCCGGGGCCGCGCCGGCGGCGCCGCGGGTCTGCTTCGGAGGAGCAGTCCACCTCCTTTATGTTGTGAACTTAGAACGGTGAAAACTTGCCATGATGTCTTGTGATACGTCACGAAATCAAGTTTTGCGGAAAACTTGACTACAGTGTACGAGGATTGTAGCAGCTTCAAGGCTAAGTGGAAGTTGTGTACTGTGTTTAAAAAAAAATGGATCATCGGATGAAAACAAGGCCAACAGCAAGAACATATAGGAGTCTATAGTCTTGTTGCATGTGAAAATCCAAAAAGAACGCGGTCGAGCTTATGTGAACTTGACTCTACAATCTAACTCACATACCTCCGTTCACATACCTCGCCTCTACTTGTCTGCACATGGGTGCTAAAATAAGCAGCCAGGAACAGTCTTGCAAGATCAGTGCATAATCGGAAGTCTTGTCGGTTTTTCATCTGATCAACTTGCTATGCGAACACGTCGAACTGTGCAGTGTGACCATGCCTCCTCCATAAGCTCCTCCACCTCCATCGACCTCACCGCCCACGCCCCCCCCCCTGGCCCCCCCACGGGGCTCTTCCTGCAGTACGGCCACCGCGGTAGCCCCAGCTTCTTGCATGCTATCTTGAGCGTCGTGAGCGAGATCCCCTGCAGCACTCTCTCGTCAGCCACATGACCGGATCCCTCCTCCGAGAATCACACGAGAAGCATGCTGCGCGCTCGACTCACCAGCTGGTCGGCGGCGTCTCGTTGCTGGAGGTGGAAGAGCGCCAGGATGTCATCGCTGCGGAGGCTGACGGGGGGCTTTCTGATGTCGGAGGCGGGGTCGGACTTTCTACGGCGGGGGACGATGGAGAGGGCGAGGGGGGAGCGGGAGCGGGGGGAGGCGGGGGAGGCCGGAGGAGGAGGATGATGAAGCTGCATTGTAACGAATAGGCTGTGTTTGATGGAGGCAGCAGGCTCAAGTGTTGAGGACTCGTAGTCAGAGGATGCGGGAGGGTTCGTGTGGAAACCGGGGAGCGAGTGATGTTCTTGGGGGAGCGGAAGGCTTTAATAATCCTGGTGAAGGGGTTAAGATGGTTTTAACTTCCGGTCCGTGATCGAAAGGATGCGAATTTTGTAGCCAGTGCTGACGCAACGTCATCACAGGCCGTGACTGCAAAAACTCTTTTTAAGAATGACTGGTACTGCTATTGTTCCTGCATCATGGAGGTCAAACCTTGAGTAGCAGCTGCTCTGTTCTGAAAGTTGAGATGATCTTGTACGAGACATTCAACCAGGCTGATACACGCGTGCCGATCATCCCAGATTTCTTTTGGTTTGCAGTGAACCTGAGCCAACTTCCATCAAGTTTGTCACACTCAAGATGAAAATAACATGATGGTTGAACAGTTGACAAGGATGGTGCGCTCTGCCTAGGGTTGTGAGCTAAGAAGATATCTGTCAAACATCATTTAACTTCTAGCGAAACCAAGCAGTGTGTAGCTTATAGACATGTGTACTAAAGAACAAAATTTACCGCAAGGCTCACTGATTTCAATGAATACAAAGCTTCCACATACCAACCAACACTCAATGTGGTGCACAGGGCGATTGAGTAGTGGTAAAACATTTCAATGGAGATGTCCGATCCACTGTATCCAAAGACGAAGAGAAGATCCTCATTGAGCAAGGTCATATGAGCCATACATTCAGCGCATGGGTGATGTTTTACTATCTTGATGTAAGCCTCTAGACTCAAGTTCAAGCTCCACAGTGTGACCATGCCTCCTCCATAAGCTCCTCCACCTCCATCGACCTCACCACCCACGCCCCCCCCTGTCCCCCCCACGGGGCTCTTCCTGCAGTACGGCCACCGCGGTAGCCCCAGCTTCTTGCATGCTATCTTGAGCGTCGTGAGCGAGATCCCCTGCAGCACTCTCTCGTCAGCCACATGACCGGATCCCTCCTCCGAGCATCACACGGGAAGCATGCTGCGCGCTCGACTCACCAGCTGGTCGGCGGCGTCTCGTTGCTGGAGGTGGAAGAGCGCCAGGATGTCATCGCTGCGGAGGCTGACGGGGGGCTTTCTGATGTCGGAGGCGGGGTCGGACTTTCTACGGCGGGGGACGATGGAGAGGGCGAGGGGGGAGCGGGAGCGGGGGGAGGCGGGGAAGGCCGGAGAAGTTGGAAGGTGGTGCATGTGGCGTGGGATTTGGAGTCTACGGCGGCGGGGAGGCGAGAGGTTGAAATCAGGATACGGACGCACGGAATTAAGTTGGTGTAGTAAAGGCCATCTTCTGACTGTTCCTCTACAGTGTCACGTGACATGATATCGAATCGACTCAAGTTTTCCGGCTAGTCACGAGAATTGCTGACATCTCGATGGTTCCCGTGACTTCACGGAGCTCCGCAACTTGAGCGAACACAACGTTTGGCACTCAAGGTCTCACAGTCAATAAATAGTTATAGCCGACTCAACTCACGGTCATGCACTCTTGAAAGTCTCAATTGACCTTGGCCAGGGTCATCGGGTACTACGTGACAGGCTGCTGAGGGCCTCAGCATGGAGATTCAAACTTGAAAAGCCAAGTTTGAAGCCTGAGTCACTGACTCGGTGACCGTCGTGACCGGCACTGCCGCAGTGACCGTCCGACGGTCGGAGGCTCAGTAGTACCGTACGGTCGACGGTGAACGGCGCATCGGCCGGGCGGCGGCCGGGCGGGCCCGGTGAGCTGGCATCACACTCGGGCCTGAGCCTCCGAGCCTATTGAGCCGTCTGACTTACTAACTAACTAACGAGCAGTAGTACGTTGACTCACGTGACGGTTACGGCGGCGGCAGTCACGTTGAAGCCTGAGCGCGCCGGGCCTTGACTCGGTCCGCGCGTTGCCATTGTGCGGACCGTCAGGCCCGGCCGCGGACGGTCCGACCAGTGGCGGCCGGGGCCCGGACGCCGCTCTGTTACCGGGCTGTGGCGTGACCGTACTCGGGCCGGGGCCCCGGCCGCCCGGCCGGCGAGTCACCGGGCCGGGCGGCGCGGCCGGCGACTTCACGATCCTATCCGTTACAATTAAAAGGCAGACCGTTACCACCCCGATTTAGAAGCCGATGGCATGGAGGCCTAGAGGTACGGTGATTCAGTTCAGTAGAGGATGTTTGGTAGGGATGGAATTGAGATGACAACGATGAAAATGGTGCTAGATATGTTGGGAAAAGAAGAAAGATTGTAGCAGAGATGATTATCGTGTTGAATGCACGACATAGCATGCAAGGAGGATAGACAAACGAGGCTGAATAACGATTTTCCTGATGTCGATGTAGTAGATGAGTTTGATGGTTAGGTGTGTAGATATGAAAGACGACAGGAAATATTTTTTGTATGTGTGGAGTGATGCTTCGGACAGTAGCAGAGTATGGTTTCTTCGGAAAGGAGACGTTCGTGTTATGAACGTTGAGGGGCTGTTTGTTTCTTGTTGGATTGCCTGTTGATGCAAGTGAACGCATGCCATATGTATTGTTTCCATCGCCAACAATTACTCACACTGGATCGTCAGGGGTTTGGCTGAGTGCTTACACGGTGTTGTGATCGAACGGCTCCCGAATCACTTGCACGTTCGTGGACACAATGCAGGCCAGCCCCATGAGCATGCCCCGAGGCACTGCTTCTCAACATCTGCGAGACAGCAATGCAGCTGAACGCGAGTCCACAAAGGAAGGGCAGGCTGGGGGCACGTTTCGATCCAAGGCCAACGTTCTCTCTGGACAGCCTGATATGGAGGCATTGGCTGCATCGCTGCAAGCGAGAGACTGCATGAATGATAACCGGATGGACCCTGGGCTTGGTTCAGGCTTCTTACCCGGAGAGGAGCGAGTCAGACAGCTCACTATGAGACGACAGAACTGCATGTGGACTTTCATCTTCGCAATTCTTGGCGTTGTGTTGGCTGTTACAGACAACGGTGAAATGCCTGACACTTTGTTTCTGATTTTGAGTAACATCTCTTGTTAGAAATTCGATGGGATAGCCTTGATGACTTTTACAATGTCACAAAGATTTCCTTCACTTTGAGAGTGCTTGTTGTCACCACGACTATTCTTACTCTATATTTCCTATACAAGTGAGTCGACCTAGTTCGTTGTTTTTCCAGTTCGTTCCTTACCTCATTTTCTAGATACTATGAGACCTTGATCAACCTGCGACGGCTTTCAGGTATTCGACTGCCTCCTGGAGTCAGCATCTCCAGCCTCAAGGGAGGAGGATACTGGTCTCAGTTCCTTATCGATGTCCTCATCATGTTACCTCAACCACTCCCTCTTCTGGATGTGAATGTCACGATCTGGAACAAGGGGTTGGGCCGTGCGTCAATCTACGAGTTGAACAGCATCCTTTGTTGCCTTATGTTTGTAAGGTTCTTTTACGTGCCGCGTTTCTATGGGGAGTGCATATCAGATCTCCAGTCGGAATCAACAGTTGCCCTGGGAAGGATGAATAGAGTCAAGATCGACGAGAGCTTCATTCTGAAGTATGTCATTGCGAACAGCATGCAGGTTGTCATAGTGCTTACTCTCCTGCAAATCGTCATGTTCGCATACATGATGATGGTGTTCGAACGAGTCGTCGACAACGGCGCCCTCCAGCATTTTGCGAACTGCGTTTGGCTGACGATCATCACCATGACGACGGTGGGGTACGGCGATGAGTTCCCTACCACCTTGCTCGGCCGAATGGTTTCTGTCATGGCGTCTATCGTAGCGGTTGTCATGCTAGCAATCACTGTCAACCTGGTGATAGCGAAGTTGACTCTCTCCCGCGCCGAGTCGAAGGTGATCGCCGTCATGGACAAGATCACCCTCCGCAAGGACCTCAAGCACAAGGCCGCTGTCGTCATCCAGCGTTGGATCAGGGCTCACAAGGAGTACATGGAGGGGGAGCGACGAGGGAGCACCCGAGGAGGCTATATGATGATCCCGGACTTCAAGTCTGCGAGGAGAAAGAACATGGATCTTCGAGCGCAAGTGAACCTCCTCCCTCCTCCCTCCTCCCTCCTCCCTCCTCCCTCTTTTTATCTCCTCACTACTACGACTCTTCCCTTTTCACTCCCTTTTCCTTCCTCCTCTCCGCCCCATGGTCCTCTGGCTCCCGTCTTTCCTTGTCTTACATTGTGCCTCTGCTCTTTCTGTCTCTTGTCCATCCCCTGACTGCTTTGCGTGTCTCAGGTCCTGTCAAACCTTCCGCTTCTTGAGAGCATCAACGATTTCAAGGAAACGAGTGACGAGAGTTTCTCCAACAACCTTCAGGTCTTGCCCGCTCTCTGCCCCTCGGATGCTCACTGGGGCCTTGCAGACGGACGTTCCTGAGCTGGTGGGTAACCTGTCCAGCCAGCTAGTCCAGCAGGAGAAGAGGATCCTCGAGTTGAACAAGAAGGCCGAGGAGGTAACGTGATCGGCTGGCACTGCTGAGATTCTGAAGGAGGTTTTCCTGTGCAGGTGAATAATTTGGTAGCGAAGCTGTTGGCCAAGAAGAAACAGGACACCTTACAACGGTCACGCGCTTGATTGAGGTGTGGTGGGAGAAAGTTCCCACCTCCTCCCCCTCCCCCCCTTCTTCCCTCTCAGTCTTCTTTCTCTTCTGTTCTCTCCTCGCTGCGGTATTGCCTTGTTGAATTTGCAACTCGATCTCCCTCTCTACCAGTCTTATCTTTTCATGTTCTCGGCGTCACGGACAGTGCTTGTTGGCCAATATGAAAGAGCCTTAAATGAATTTCTCTCCGTTACTTCACTCCTAACGTCTCCGGGCGTTCCGATGCTCAAGGCTTACTAACTTGAACCCATCCGGAGTCCGATCGGCTCGGAAAGTTTCGGAACTAAACGGCTCCGACAGCGCCGCGCCGGCCCCGGTCATGGTGATTACTGCGGCATGACTCTATGATACTGAGTAGTCCGTACCAAGTCCGTACCAAGTCCGTACCACTGGATGAGTGACGGCCGGGCCCGGCGCCCCGGCGGCCGGGCGGCCGGGAACTGAAATTGATACCCTGCGGCCGCGGTTCTAACGGACGTTTGACAAGACTAAACTCGGGGAGGGGGAGGAGACTCGAGAGAGGGAGAGAGGGAGAGAAAGAGAGAGGAAGAGAGCAGGGGGCTGCACTGTGAACTTGTTCGAAATGAAAGGGATGGGAGGTGGCAAGGGTGATATGAGAGGCGGGTGTGTGCGGCCGTGCGCGGCTAGCGACCCAAGGCAAGAGTAAGAGTCAGCAGAAAGTGTGCAGGCAGGGGACTGGGTCGAGCAGGACTGGATGTGCGCAGGGGCTCGTGCCGCCATTCAGCTCTGAGATGATGCGAGAAAGGCGACCAGAAAGTCACCACGCATGGGAGTACCTGAGCCCTACGAGCTCAGAGTGGGTTCTGTTCACGAGGGAAAACTGCGCTAAGCTCTCGGAGGCATCGGCCACACACCAGAACAGTCTGATGCTGTCCAAAAACATCTCCATTGACTTCGTTCAGCTCCAGCTGAAGAATCTCAGCAACGGTCAGGTCACCAGCATCAGGAGGAGGGGATCAGTTCCCCTCCTCCCGGTGAACAGGCAGCAGCTGCCTGCTGTTGGTGTTGCTTTCAATCAAAGGAAAGGCTCTCCAGTTGCAGAGATTCCAGCCGAAATGCCAAGCATCCCAACAAGGATGACTGAGAGTCCGGCCATGCAGAGCTCGTCTGGAGGCGGCAGGTTCGCCAAGGAGTGGGAGGAGGGCGAGCGAGCTGCTAGGGGGAAAGTCAACGAGCTTGTTCAAGGCGCATGCTCTCCCAACGTACAGGAAGCTGCAAGGATGTGCAGGCAGATTGGCGGCCTGGGAGACAGGGAGAAGTTCTTCCTTCACAACCTTGAAGGCAAGCAAGTGGCAGCGCTTCTTGGCAGCATCGCACGTATCATCGAGGTCTCAAACTTCCTCCATTGCCGTCCTGAGTGACTTCTAGGTTGATGACGATGAAGTTGCGAATGCGGCTGCCATAGCGCTCGGCAGCCTTATCGGGCCGAGGAGGATTCAGGACATGATCAACAGCAACCTCGGCATCCTCGAGCCCATCCTTAGAGGCTTGTCAAGCTTGGTCAACACGGTTAGCTGCCAGTCTCTTCCTTCCCCGCACGATGTCTCTTTCCTGCACCCCATCGCTCCACCTTGTTCCTGTCGCTTCTCCTCTCCGTTTGCTCTGCTCCTGTCCTTGCGTTGTACATGAGCCTTCTCTCTCAGCCGATCTTCTCTGCTCTCTGGAGCAATTGCCGCTAGTGACAGAACTTTATGGCAGGGAAGCTCTTGCGGGCGCCTGAGGCATGCTGTCTTCGCCCTCCAGCTCTTGACGAGGGACGAGCCAGGTGGGATTGGCATGACGTTGTAATGGTAAGGACATGCTCTGACCGTTGGTACAGGGGCCTCCTGCTTGATGAGAATTCGACGAGACAACGCAATGCGGAGGAGGAGAGTAAGGTGAAGAGTGCGGAAGACAGCCATTCACGACATGATCGCACAAGTGTATTCGCTAGAAGATATAAGGAAGATAAAGAAGTAGAATGAATCGCGACAAAAACTCGAGATACTTGGTCGTCGGCCAACCCATCACTTGTCCTCCCCGAAGGCAACAGCAAGTTCTCCATTCTCCTCCTCCTCCTCTTCCGGCTTGGTAAGGAAGGTAGAGTCAGCTATCATCCCCCCTCCTATGCACTCCTCCCCATCATACAGCGCCGCCCACTGACCGGGCGCCAGCCCAGAGTCTCTCCCGTCGAGCGAGACACGCCCACTGAGTTTCCCCTGGGACAGAGTGAGCAGCCCGTCGTGAATGTTGGGGCCATGGCGAGTCTTGATCCGTAGCCGCAGCGCATCGTCCTCCGGGAGGCTCCCAGCCATCCAGTTAATCTGCTCCACATCGAAACTTCTTCTTGGACCCTCGATGACGTCATACTGGTTGGACACGTACAGCATGTTCCTTTCCCTGTCTTTGCCGGCTACAAACCAGGGTCCAAGGTGAGTAACCTTCCTAGTAGCGCTTCCCAGTCCCTTCCGCTGCCCGATCGTGTAGAACCAGAGGCCTCGGTGCTCCCCTAGCTCCCGGCCTGTGTGGAAGTCAATGACAGGGCCCGGGTCTTCTCCGAGGTGATGCCCGACGAAGTCTTCGAACTTGAGCTTGCCCAGGAAGCAGATCCCTTGGCTGTCCTTCCTCCTCTGCGTCGGCAGGTTGAACTCCCTCGCCAACTCCCGCACCTTCTCCTTGGTGTAGCCTCCTATAGGGAAGAGGGCGTGCTTGAGTTGATCCTGACGCAGGTTGCACAGGAAGTAAGTCTGGTCCTTGACCTTGTCAGGTGACATCATCAGCCGGGACGGCCTTGTCCCCACGTCATCGTGGCAGCTCACTGCATAGTGACCCGAGGCAACGCGGCTGAAATGCTTCCCCACGTACTCCTCGAACATGCCGAACTTGATCCTGCTGTTGCACATGATGTCAGGGTTCGGCGTCCTCCCCATCTTCGCCTCCCTGATCAGGTACTCCACCACCTGCTCCCAGTACTCCTCCTGCAGCGATATCGACTCCAGCGGCACTTTGAGCTGCTCTGCCACAGAGGAAGCGTAACTCCAGTCCTCCTCCCACGGACACTCTCCAAGGTGTGCTAGCTCGTCCTCCAGCCATATCCGCAAGTAGAAGGCACGAGGCTTGAAGCCCTGCCGCCGAACGAGCTCCAGTGCGACAGAGGAATCAACTCCTCCTGACAGGAGCACAGCTACTTCCTCGCTCCTCCCTCCCCACGCCCATACCTGCCGGGCCTCGGCAGGGGCATGCGCACCAGCATCTTGAACTACTGTCTCCTTCTTTCGACCCTTGAGCTCGTTCTCGATGAGCGTTTGGAACGTTGCCAGCATGCTCCTGAGCCCGTCGTTCCTTCCGGTGGGCAGCAGGCTCTTCAAGTTCGCTGCCTGGATGATGTCGTCGGACCGTGTCGACAGGACCTCCTGCGCCGTCAGCCCGCCAAGTCCCTTGACAAGCAGCGCCAGCATGCCTCTAGCTACCCTCGCGTCCGCGTCCCCGTCCAGTGAGACTCTCAGCGATCCGCTTTCATCCTCCTTGCTGGCGACAGAGACCCGCACGTTTGAGATGCAGCCAGGCACCCTTACCTTCTCCCCCCCCCTCCTCTCTGACTTGCCCATGTATAGCTCCAGGCTGTCGCCAAGTTGGACGAGCTTGATCGCCGCCTCCTTGTCATTTCTGCTCTCAGCAAGCCATGAGCACAGGCGCTGGAGCTCGGGAGGGAGCGAGGAGAGATCGCTACTCTGCTCCATGCTGCACTTCACAACAGGAGGCAGGCGGCATCTTGTCGCAAAAGATCGCAGTTGCCGACCAGCCGAAAAATGCACACACTGATGTCTACACAGGAAATCTCTCCTTTGAAGGGCATGATTGGCGCACGGCTGTAGATTGAAGCACATACTTGCTAGCCCCGCTCCTGCTGTCTCCCCGCTGCACAAACATAGAAACGCCAGCGCCAAGAGAGCTGACGCAGCCCTACAGCTCACCGGCTCCCTCCTCACGCGTTGTGTTGAGCTCTTCATATCCTCTTCGCAGCTCGATCTAGTCACCATCGCACACGCCTCGTCACTCCTCCTCCCGCCATCGAGTTCCGCTCCTTCAGTCTCGATCGTACACCTGCTCGCACTCCTGGCCCCCCATTGACCACGTCCCCGCTATTGACCACCCGCACTCAGCCTGGTCGGATCTGAACCGCCCGGCCCGGGCCCCGGCCCGAAATATTCATGAGGTTCAGCACCATCACTGGTATAAATTCGAAATAGGTATCTTTAGATTTCAAATTTTATAGTGACGTTGTTAGACTCACAGTGGTGAAATGAAAAGAAAGGAAGAGGTCATGAGCCCTGCATGTCACGGTCTTCTAACCGTTGGGATAGAATCTGGAGATGTTCCGATTTTACAATATTTTTCCCACAACCAAACCCTCTCCTTTCGTACCAATCCGAGCGATATAACGGAAGCATGATGAAATCTTAACGAGGATTTCGTAGTAAGGAGTCAGTGTTTTAAACTGACTGTTTTACAATGGACAAATCGATGCATGAATACAGCGCTTGACACATATCCGTATACGAGCAGCCTCGATCTCGAAGGTGTATAACTACTTTTAACACAGACCCACCCTCACCAATATCCTTTATAGCTACCCTTTTTTCCCCACCATCCACCCCCACCCCTCGACTACCAATCGAGTACCCTCTTGGTTGCAACGCGCATTTCCGCACAGTCGATTAAATTACTTGTAGAGGTCCCTACCCCTCATAAGCGAGCAATGTGTTGTAGTGATCTTTGTGCATTGCCAATTCTGTTCATATACCCCTTCTTTAGGCCATTGCTGACATTACAAATGGTGGGGTGATTTAAAAGGCCTATTACAGGACCCGTGGTCAGACTACCCCCACCCTTCGCAAACAGCACTTGACCACTCTAGTGGCCCTCGATATGGCTTGCGCCGAAGAGCAGATGGCAATGGTCACGACGGGCTTGTCGAGCAGCGATGGTCAGCAGGATAACAAGAGAGGATGCAGGAATGGAGTTTTCTTCCACTTTATCACGCAAGACGGAGCCATGCAGGATGAGGAGTGTGTCCTCAATGCAGGGCCATGCGCGGATTCGGTGGTGCATGGGGACAGCGACGGCATCAACTCTCCAACCGGTGCTACCTCCGAAAGCTCCGCTTCCATGGAGGGACTCTACAACCAGGACCAGGACAAGGGGTCTCCTCAAGGACCTTCCCTTGGGATGAGACGGTCTCGACCTCCCTCCCTCACAGAGTTCATCCCTTTCATACCAGGCAAGATCGAGGAGAGGCCGTGTCCAGGACCCAGCCCCATGCAGGGAGGGAACGAAGATCAGAGCATGGAGGATGCTAGCATGTCGGCCTACAAGCTTGTGCGGCATCGTAGCGACCCCTCGTCGGCGGCTCCTGAGAAACCATGCCGGCTCAACACGGTCTCGTACTTTGCTCGCTGGAAGAACGAGAGCTCCGGGAAGATGTTTTCTCGCATCACTGGCGTGCTGGATGGGAGCAACGTGATCTTGAACGGGCATCGTTACGATGGCCTGAAGGACTTCCTTGCAGACGTGAAGCAAGGGTTCCAGCTCGAGCTGCCTGGATATACAACGGGAGAGAACCCCTCTCTCAGTGGAGCAGGAGACCAAGAGGCAGGGCAAGAGGCAGGGCAGGGTGCGCCTGAGGTGCCACAAACTCCTAAGAGGCCGACGAGCTATGCGGACGGGGAGGCTTCTCGGTACCGCCTGCTGCAGATGCTGCATGACTCTTCGGCTGCAGACGGTCAGTGAGTAGGTTGAGCATGTGCTGTTGGTTCTTGCGCGAACAGTGACGAGGAAGGTGTGAGTGTAGTGATGTAATGACAGTAGAGAACTCTTGTTGATTAGCGGACTTTGAATGATTGACATCTTGTATATAAAGATACTTGGAACTTAGAATCTAAGGGATGGCGGACTGGGAATGTGCTATCAACATATCATGTCGTGTTCTGTTTGAACTATGAGATGAGTGAACAGTGAAGACCTGTAAACTGTCTTGCATACTGTCATTGTGGATAGCAGGCCCTCTTGCATTTTCTGTTTCTGTTTCTGTCTCTGTTTCTGTTATAATACCCTTGTGCTAGCACATTTCTCCTTGTTCTGCCGTCTCTATCACATGATGGTAGAGGCGGATGCTTTTGCTGCCGACGATCGAGACCTGGGACGGAATCCCAGGGAGCTGCTTGGACGCTTGACGGATTCTGATAGGATGGGGGAGGGAGACCGTCGCCAAGTGGAGGAGGAGGAGGAGAGGTCTACCATGCTGGGGGGCCGGCTAGGCAAGCTGCTGGAGGATCGAGCAGGGAACGCCATGCGGAGTAGAGCTCGCATACTCTTCCTCCCGGGGGCAGAGGATGTTTCCATCAAGCTCCTCCTGCTCTTGTCTGTGGCTGGCGGGGGTCTCGACGACACCCAGGACAAGCTCGATGCTGCTCTCAACTGCCCCTCCAAGGTACTGCTCCTGGAGGGACGATCACGAAGAGAGTCGAGGAGGAGGGAGGAAGACGGAGCGGCTCCCTCGAGAGAGGAGGAGGTGGCAGATGTGACTGGTGACAGCGTCCTGGCCATGGCCGATCTCGGTCTCCCTGGGAGCTTCTTGGCAAAGGTAACGAAAGACTTCACCTGCGGAGCAAGGATCCCGTCAGTACATCACAGCAGCAGCAGTGCTGCCCTCCCCCCTCTCCTCTCCTCTCCTCTCCTCTCCTCTGCTCTCCTCCCCTCCCCTCCCGTCTCCTCTCGTCTCCTCTCCGCTCCGGAGCGCTCCGCTCCCCTCGCATCTCCGCTCTTCTCTTCTCTAGACACCCTGCCCGACCTTGCAAGTGTCTTCCTCCATGATGCTCCTCGATGTCACTTCCACCGAGCTCGCAAGGCAGAGAGCGTCTGCTCTGATCAGTGAGCTGACGATGCCGTGCGGATCCCTCCTACTGGGAATCTGCTGGGAAATTAGCTGGTATCCTCACGCACTGAACAAGATCACCTGCTCGAAGAAGACATTGACCTGCTCCCTGTCTGCCCTACTCCTCCCATCGCCAGCGTTGCTGCTGCTCCTTCCTGGCTGCCCCGTCGCCTGTCCGTCATGGCAGCCGCAGTCGCAGGTCGAGCATTGCTGACGCTGAACTCCGACGTTTCCGGCTCGAAAGCTCAAGGCAAGCTCGCGCAACTTGGTAGGAGAGAAGTCGAGGGTGCGAGGAAGGGAGGAGGAGGAGGAGGAGGAGGAAGAGTCCTGTCGATAGCGATGAGATGAAGTGGTGAAAGAGGTGGAGGCGCGGGCCTGAGGACGCGGTTGAGGAAGGGAAAGCAGGAATGGAAAAAGACGAGAAGGGGGATGAGAACGGAAAGGAGAGAGAGGAAAAGGATAGTGTAGGGGAGGTATTGGAAGGAGAACGCATCACGATAGGGTTGGAAGACGCGCAAGAAATCAATAAGCACAT